CTTGTTTTAAAACAAAAGGGGGGAGGGCAGCAAGTAGTTAAGGCGCTGGACTCCCATGTGGTTGACCATAGTTCGAGTACTGGACCCAGTGGCTTGAAACTCATGCTGGATGTGGTGTGTGTGTGTGTGTGTGTGTGTGTGCATGCCCAAGATCCCAGGAGGAGAATGAAGGAGAAAGGATTATGGTGTGACCAATTTCCCCTGAGGGGTAATTTCTCACTTTCTGTCTCTCTGTCTCTCTGTCTCTCTTGTCTTTCCAGTGAGTGAATGTACGCCATAGCAAAAATCTCTCTCATAAAAAAGGAAGACAGGGAGAGAGGGAAAAGAGAGGAAGAGAGAGAACATGGGCCAGGTTAAGAATGTGAAAAAATTTCCTTCCCATGTTCCTGTCTCTTCATTGAAGAGAGAGGCTATAAATGCCAAGTCTCAGAGATTCTCCCCACATGTGAGGACTAAAGTGAATGCTAAGAAAAATGGCAGAAGTCCTTCTTGACACATTCACAATTTTAATTTATAGATAAAGTTTGTGGAGCAGTGCTTGGCACATGGTAAGTCCTACATAAGTGTTTATTTAAAAAATAAAACCACTCTCTATGAGAAAGCAAAGAGCAGAGGGTTTTGCCACACATCCTTTTTTTTAGTCTCTCTGACTAATTAAAGTATTTGTTGATTTCCAGCCTGTATTTCAATCAACCAAGGGGGATTTTCAAAGACTTTGGTATGCCATTGGCAAAACATCCTTCAAATGAGGGAATAACATTCCCAGGCTTGCAGGGGCCTGTTGGAGGGAAGCTGAGAGCTCTCCACTGCAGCTCTTCCCCTGCAAATGCCAATCGCCCACTAAATCTGAGGGAAGGGGGCCAGGGCTGCTCCCCACAGCCGCCTGCCTGTGTGCCCCACCCTTCCTGCCAACCCCCACACCCAGCTCAAAATGGAACTTCCAGTTTGGTGAGCCCCCTCTAGTGAGCCCAGGATGCCCTTTTTTCATCTAAGACTGCCCTGACTTCCCAGCACAATGGGCTTCCCTGCTCAGTGAGAGGTTGGGCAATGTGTCCAGGGTCCCAGACCAATTCATGGGCCATACTGAGACCAAGACACGGTCCAAAGGAGAGCTGTAGACATTTTTTAGCTCTGCTGTGACCTATAATTTGTGAGAAACCCTTACATAAGAAAACTTAACTCCAAGGAGCCAGGGACCCTTGTCACTGTTATCTCAGTAAGAGCAGCAAGTTCTGCCTCCAAAGCTCACCTGAGTGGCAGGTATCTGCTTTACTTTTAGACATTTGCATTTCTACCCCGACCTATTTTCAGACTTCGGGTCTGAAAGTCCTGGAGAGGCTGACTGGAATTCCCAGCATCACAGAGCAGTCTCGGTCAGGTCCACGGAAGGGACCCCATGCCTCATGATCTTGAGACTGTAGCTGAGATCAAAGCCAGGACCCAGAGATGGGGTAGGTGAGGACTCCTATTGGCTTTGGGTGGGGACAGATCAGTCCTTCCCTCAATTCCTCCCTGAGGCTAGGGCTTTGTGCAGAGCTGTCTAGGGCTGGCTGGCTGCTCCATCTGCCCTTCCCAATCCTGCAGATCTGGCTCCGGGCTTCTAGATGAAGTTGCCAACCAGAGCCCAATGAATAGGGTGACTCATGCCTAAACTATCACTCCCCACGTTTTGTGCTGAACATGCATGAGATGGAAGGTCTCAGAGATGAGGACTCAAAGTTTCCTTTTTCTTCTGGAGGAGGAACAGGGGCCTGGGCCAGGGCAAGGAGGCTACTAGTGAGCTCAGATGCAGAACATTCTCAGAGCTGCTTGCGGAGGGAAAAGGAATGAAGGGAGTCTAAGGAATAAAGAATGCAGCGAAGGGCAAAAGAGTCACCCTGTGGACAAGAACCTGGGGTTGTAAACTGATGGACAGGACCCGGAGATTCAGCATGGGGCTGGAGAGGGCCTCACTAAAGACCCAGAAGGAGTGGGAAGAGATGACTTCTTGCTTATCCATTCAATTCAGAAAATGCTTAATGAGCTCCTCCAGGGTGTGAGACTGGGCTGAGTGTGTGGGCCATGCAAAGGTGTTCCTTAACCTTGGGGACTGTACCATGGGGGGGAGACCATGCCCAGGTGAGCATACACTATTTTTAATGCTCTATTTATCTTCCATTAGATAGGAGTGGGGACTTCGAAGAGAGTCCTGAGCTAGTATTGCAAGATTTGCCTAATGCTTGATCCATGAACTGAGACAACTGCCTACCTTGTGTCTGTGAGGTGCTTCCCTGTTTCTATTATACACTTGCCCTGCACCCCTCTGTGAGGGAGGCCTGAACAGTCACTACCTTTCCTTCTTCTCCCACAGAAAGGCCAGCAGGGCCAGCCACTAGAGAGCTCACTTAACCCCACTTTAGTCATTCACTGATGAGCAAAACATTGGAACATGTCCTACGAGATCTTGGTAACTCCCTCAGTGGGGTGCTCAGCAGAAAAGCCTAGCAAGCTCAATGTAATCCTTTCTTTCTGCCACAGTGAAATTCCAGGTAGGGTGGGAGGGCCTCTCCCACACTGCAGCAGTTGGCGCCTGGCTCCCCACACAGCATCGCCATTATTTATATCCATCCAGGTCTGGCATCCAGAGAGGGGTTGCCCTACCTGCATGGGGAGGAATCCTGCAAAGCATGGACAATAGGGTGCTGCATTTTCCTCCAAAAGAGGCACTCCGACATTCCCTGAGACAGTTACCTACCACTGGCATGCCTTTGGTGCTGGCATCTGGACCTGAGCTTGGCACACTGTGGTGATTCTCTACTGGCCAGATGCATTCCTGTTCTCCCAAGGCACAGGGAGGGTGATGACTGGGGAGAAGAGAATGTCCCAGTGTTTCAGGACGGGTGGGGCTTCCCTGAGGGCAGTGGGGACTGTACCTAGGACCTGTGGGATGTGTGTGCGTAAGGGGCACATGCCAAGCGCAATCTCCTAGTGGGGAGGCAGAATGCCTTTAGGAGTCTCCAGACACTTGCTACCAGCTTATTCTATCAGGGGCTAAGGATCCCCTAATATGTCTCAGCCCCCCCAAAATAAAAACCACTCACATATAGCAAAAGGTAACAAAGTGTGAAATCGGTATATGAGCAAAATTCACCTTTGAAGGTCTCAGAAATTCTCCAGGCAGGGTGTCAGCCCCAACCTCCCTGCCCAGGGTCTGTGCGGCCAGCTCTGGCTGTGGGCTGTCGGTGGGATTTACCTGCTGGCTGCTTTCTCCTCCAGCCCTCTGGTGAGCAATCATCATCTCACTGATCCCCAGCAACCTGCAGACATTTTCCCACAGCCTGGGCTTCCTTGTGGCCAACCACAGGCCCTGACTAGAGATTCCTGAGCCTGGGCTGGGTCCTGACTCCTTTACTCTTGAGAACACAGTCCCTCTGCCCTGAGGCTTTGCGCACATCCCCCCTGCACCTCTACTCCAGTCCGAACCCATGAGAGAGGGTGCATGGCCCCAATATTCTGAGCACTACCTTACCTAAGAGGCTTGCTTGTTTTCTGGGAGGCAGAGAGGTGGCCCCCTTCAGGCCTGCAGCCAGAAAGAGGGATCATGGCTTAAACCAGCATTTGTTAAAAAACTAACCAAAACCTCCTTTCCTCCACCTGGTGTCACAGCCCCCTGTACCCACAAGCTTTGCAGAGGGGCTCTTAAGGGGGTCCTCTCTAAAACAGCTGACAGATTGTTATGGTAAACTGCCTGGTCTTCCAACCTGCTCTGTCTAGTCTTTCTGGCAGGACAATCTACAGATTTAGAATGCTATTTTCTATTAACTTGGCCCTAAAGGAGACTTTGGGCTGGGGCTTAAAGAAAGCACAGCAATTCCCGCTGCTTGAAACAGGGCAGCTCGCCGTTATAACAGATTCTCAACATGTTCCTGATGAGATTAGAAGCTCCTGCAGGTATGTGTTTGTGGCAGCCTGTAGCCTGTATCAACAGATACGATGACTCATTTCTTCCTTAGTGGAATAACCAAGAGCTTGCTGGAACACACCTGGGGGACTGAGGGAGCCGGCAGAGCCCTCCCTGAAGAGAGACGTGACTGCCAGCTGAGTCTCAGGACTTTTCTGTAAGGGATTGCAGGGGCTCTCTGGTTGGCAAAGCCCCTACAGAGTCCTCCTCAGGCCAGAGAGCAAGGCAAAGGTTGAATGACCCAGAAAATGCCAAGTTGAGGGAAGTAGTGGAAGGATAGTTCTGACCCTGAGAGAGCAAAGTGGTATATCGCAGGGACTGAGGCTTCTCACACTTGTTTCTGGAGCTTGAGGCTGAAGGGAGACTCTGACTGGAATCTTGTAGCAAAATTTGCTCAGTGGGTCTGGGTTTACTGTGCTTCCCCCAAGAAAAAAATTCTGCAGTAAAGGACGAGTTCGATTTTCTTCTCTGCATATACCTACAACAGAAGGCACAAACCTATGATAGGAGGCACAAGTAGCCTAAGAGCTGAAATCTCCGCAGAAAGTCCCTGCCTTGAAAAGCGTAAGAGAGCAGATCACTGCTAGCTTGGGGTCTGCTTTGCCCCCTGCGGATGGACAGCTTCCTGAAGATGGAAGGGCAGATACTCTGTGTATGCTGTGCTGGCTAGTGGGTAATATCCCTGGTCCGGAAAGATCCCTAGGACAACGGCTGTGACTAATGCCACTTCATTCATGGTGTTCTTGAGCCGCTCACAGCCTCTGGTGTCCATGGTGGAGAGACGTGCTGGCAGTGTCGGCGACTTGCTGCCAAGACATCAATGCTGCAAGGCAAGGTTATTTCTAACTGAGCAGAACCTGCCAGGAAGAAAGCGTTTGCACCCCACACCACTGTGCAGGTGTGACGGGTGAGCTCAGAGCTGCCCCCCAGGCATGCCCAGCCCACTTAATCATTCACAGCTCGACAGCTCTCTCGCCCAGCCCAGTTCTAGAGGGAATAAAAGGGGGCATTGCAGTTCCTGTGTAACAGAGCCACCCGCCGCGTCCTGCTGAGCTCTGTTCTCTCCTAGCCCACTAGTACCTGTGCTTCTGCTCCACCAGGAACAAGCCATCATGTCTCGCCAGTCGAGTGTTTCCTTCCGGAGTGGGGGCAGCCGTTCCTTCAGCGCTGCCTCTGCCATCACCCCATCTGTGTCCCGCACCAGTTTCAGCTCTGTGTCCCGGTCTGGGGGTGGTGGTGGTGGCTTGAGCAGGATCAGCTTTGGGGGTATCGGTGGACTAGGTGGCTATGGCAGCCGGAGCCTCTACAACGTAGGGGGCTCCAGGAAAATCTCCATGAGCACTAGTGGCGGCAGCTTCAGGAATCGATTTGGTGCTGGTGCTGGAGGAGGCTATGGCTTTGGAGGTGGAGCCGGGAGTGGATTTGGTTTTGGTGGTGGAGCTGGTGGCTTGGGGCTTGGTGGTGGAGCCGGTGGCTTGGGGCTCGGTGGCGGAGCTGGCTTTGGTGGTGGCTATGGTGGAGCTGGCTTTCCCGTGTGCCCCCCCGGGGGGATCCCAGAGGGCACCGGCAGCTTCCCTGTGTGCCCCCCTGGGGGCATCCAAGAGGTCACCGTCAACCAGAGTCTCCTCACTCCTCTGAACCTGCAAATCGACCCCACCATCCAGCGGGTGAGGACAGAGGAGCGAGAGCAGATTAAGACCCTCAACAACAAGTTCGCCTCCTTCATTGACAAGGTGAGACAAGATCCTTTGTGTAAAATTACCATGAGTCTGGAATAAATGCCAATGCCAGTGGGAAGAATTTTTTGGCTTTGTGCAAATACTTTTATTGTTTTGTGTTAGGTGTTTCCATTTCTTTCTGCATTCTGTATTTGTGGTAGCTTTCTTAATTAGACAGCTTGGAAGGGAGTCTTATTTCTTTGCATTTAGAGGTTGCCCCATAAGGGTTGCTTGATCATTTTTGGACGGCGAGATGAATTCTGTGCCTCAAGCAATGCAACTGAATGTATAGCAAAAGAGAGGCATTCATTGAGCAATAGCCTGAGTGCCTTTGGAGCCACCAGTGCACTGGCTGGCCACCCCGACCAGCCATTCTTAGTGCTACCTGTGGCCTGGTTACATGTCCTGTCTCCTTTAGAAGAGTAACAGTAGGGCTTCACTCTTGACCTCTCCTCCTGAGGTCCAAGGCCAGCACTGCACGGGGGAATAGTTTAGGGGAACAGCCTAAGATGGGAGACACAATAGGGACTTGATCATTGAAACACAAAATTCAAGTTTCTCTATCTGCTCCTCTCCAGGTGCGGTTCCTGGAACAGCAGAACAAGGTCCTAGATACCAAGTGGACCTTGCTCCAAGAGCAGGGCACCAAGACTGTGAAGCAGAATCTGGACCCATTATTCGAGCAGTACATCAACAACCTCAGGAGGCAGCTGGATGGCATCTTGGGGGAGAGAGGCCGCCTGGACTCAGAGCTGAGGAACATGCAGGACCTTGTAGAGGACTTCAAGAACAAGTGAGCTGGGAGTGGGGTAGAGACATAAGTGGGTAATGTCTTCTTGGCACCAGATGGGCTTCACAACCAGAACCAGATTTCTACTTAAGCCTTCCCCATAAGCTGGAAGCTTATTTTCCATGGACATTTATAGTACTAGAAAAAAATTTTTTTCCATCCATGTTTAGACAGTTCCAACCCTAGACTCGGCCCTTCTGTAAGGCACTCAGCCAACAAGCTCTGCACCCTTGGCACGACTTGGCAAAATATGCTGGAATGCGATCTTTGTTTTTTGGAGCTTGCCCCCACCCCCCAATATAGTCTAAGAACACAGCATGGGCTTTTGGATACATTCCTCTCAAAGCAGGAACTGATGGCATAACCCAATTTGGAGCCTCAAATAATTTTTTTAGTCTTATGAACCAGCACCTGGGCTGCTGGTTTTAGGTTTCAATTGTTGTTTTAAAAGGCTCTGAAATCTGAAAAAAGCACTAGTAAAGTTGGCTGGCTATGGAGCTGGTGAGAAATAGCACAACTCTCTGCCTATGAGATGTGAGCGGCTCCTTCTCAATTTGAAAACAGGCCCGCTTGTTACTCATCCTCTGACAAACACTTCCCATCTCTTTCAATGCCAGGTATGAAGAGGAAATCAACAAGCGTACCACTGCCGAGAATGAGTTTGTGATGTTGAAGAAGGTGCGTGTGGGTAGGAGAGAACCTGTAGCCTATGGCCGTGCTTTCCTACGGGAGGAGTTCATTAAAGACAGGGTGGGAGTCTTCGGCCCCAACCATCCCTATTTCCCTAGGATGTGGATGCTGCCTACATGAGCAAGGTGGAGCTAGAGGCCAAGGTCGATGCACTGTTGGATGAGATCAACTTCATGAAGATGTTCTTTGATGCAGTAAGAAACTTAGATACATCTTTTGTGTGGGTGTTTATCTTTTTTCTCAAGTTGACATACCATAATGAGTGGAAGGTTTGAACTGATGTTAACTAGCACAGAATTGGGTGAATGACTTCAAATCTCCCTGCAGGAGCTGTCCCAGATGCAGACACATGTCTCTGACACGTCTGTGGTCCTCTCCATGGACAACAACCGCAACCTAGACCTGGACAGCATCATCTCTGAGGTGAAGGCCCAGTATGAGGAGATCGCCAACCGTAGCCGGACTGAAGCCGAGTCCTGGTACCAGACCAAGGTGGGTGCTCTGGCCAATGTCTCCTGAGCAAGGGAATGGGAAGATGTCTAGGATTCCAGGCCACGACTATGCTAAGGAGGTACTCTACTGAAAAGGACTAGGCCTCTCAGAGTGAGATTTAGAAACAGCCATGCATACATTGTCGGTATAAACCCAAGTACGTGAAAAAGAATGCCAGTCTGAACCTCACAGCAGTGTCTCTAGGAGAGCAAAGGCACTGAAGAGGACATTATCTAAGACCAGCTCTACCTCGAAACAGACTGAACCGGCCCCAGATCCTAGATAACTACACAACTTGCTACCTTTTGGTGGCTTGCTGCCAGTGCTTTCCATATACACGTAAATGGAACCTTTTCTCTTTTTTACATCAGTATGAGGAGCTGCAGCAGACAGCTGGCCGGCATGGAGATGACCTCCGCAACACCAAGCATGAGATCTCTGAGATGAACCGGATGATCCAGAGGCTGAGAGCCGAGATCGACAATGTCAAGAAGCAGGTAGGGTGAGGTTGGAAGAGGGCAAGGGAGGGGCCTGAGATCTGAATGGGAGACTTACTTTGTTGTTTTCTTTTTTTTATCTTTGCTACACACACACACACACACACACACACACACACACAACACACACACAACACACACACACACACACACACACACACACACACACACACAGCTGGAACAAGTACCAGCTTGTTCAATGTTCCACCATCAGTGATGACCAGAACAAAAGTACCAGGTTCTCTTCAGGGCTCTGGATAGTCTGGTTTGCCTGATGCAGAATCTCAGAGATGCTGCAGGCACAGATCAGCTACCAAAGTGTCCCCGTTCTTTCTTTCCCTCTATAGTGCGCCAATCTGCAGAATGCCATCGCCGATGCCGAGCAACGTGGAGAGCTGGCCATCAAGGATGCCCGGAACAAGTTGGCAGAGCTGGAGGAGGCCCTGCAGAAGGCCAAGCAAGACATGGCCCGGCTGCTGAGGGAGTACCAGGAGCTGATGAACACCAAGCTGGCCCTGGACGTGGAGATCGCCACCTACCGCAAGCTGCTAGAGGGCGAGGAGTGCAGGTGGGCTACCATTGTGAGCCCAGAATGGCCTCTCCTTTGACAAAGTGGAGCTTCTCTTGTGCATCAGTTCAATTTCAGTCTTACATGTGGGCATACAGTTAGCCCCTACTCACTTTTGTGACCTTGTTCCTCATCACGTGTGTTCTTGCATGCCGCCTTTTCTCCAAGCAAAAACAACTCAACCAAGGTGTCCGAACATGGTCTCTTTTCTGATTTTGCTCATGTTCTTGTCTCACCTCAGTATCCATGTCACCCCCATTTTCACCCTTGTCTAGTACTCAAGTATCTCTTTCCTCAGGAAATTTTTCATTACGGCAGCTGAGTTAAACTCGACTGCCTCTTGATCCTCAAACTACTTCATTTCCTTCAACCTTCTGACACTGTCTGCTGCCTACCTTCTGTTCGAGAAACTTCTATCAAGTCCTCTCACAGAACATAAGCTCTGCTGGGCACAAACTGCTTCATACATATTCATATTTCTCATATATTCTGACTCATGCTTTTCGTGTAGAAGGAGAAAGAGAGTGTAAATTACAGTCTTCCTGGAAGTGGCAGCCTGTTTCTAGGTCAAGTCCTCTGCATCGGCGAGTCCCTCCAGAAAGCTCTCTTTTTCTTTCATCTGAGCAGGTTTTTTGGCATGTAGACTCCTAGCTTAGGGAATTAGTTGTAATCATGACTATAGGAGTTATACACATAGATTAATGCTATTTTTTTAGAGAGTTTTTAAACCCTCATTTCAACTTTTTTCTTTTCAGACTGAGTGGAGAAGGAGTTGGACCAGTCAACATCTGTAAGTAACTTTGAACAGACATTAGCAATGATGATATGGGGGACTTGGTGCCAATCCAGAGATCTACTGTTTTCAGATACCAAACATTTCCCATCCCAGTATATGGTTAATAAATGCACTTAGCGAGAAGCATATAAAGGGGAGGAAAGAATATAGTGTGGGACATGAAGCAATGTGCTCACTCCTCATGTCTTAAAGAACAGGCCTTGGAACCTATACATCTCAGATCCCGTCTCTTGCCTTGCCCCTACCCCCTGACTACCTAGCATCACACCTTGCCTCTACATACACCAACGTTTTTTAGGGTGTAGACTAATGACTTAGTTCTTCTGGGCCTCAATTGATATTCTGTAAAAGGGCCAGGCATATGAGAGCTCTACCAGCAGCTGGAGCAAATAAGTTGGCGATGTTAAGATCAACATGACAGACTGGTCTCACCCAGTTCTCTCTCTTTTCCCTGCAGCTGTTGTGACAAGCAGCGTCTCCTCTGGCTATGGTGGTGGCAGTGGCTTCGGCGGCGGCCTCGGCGGTGGCCTCGGTGGTGGCCTTGGCGGTGGCCTCGGCGGCGGCCTCGGTGGCGGCCTCGGTGGTGCAGTGGCGGCAGCTACTACTCCAGCAGCAGTGGGGGTGTTGGCCTAGGCGGTGGGCTCAGTGTGGGGGGCTCCGGCTTTAGTTCAAGCAGTGGCCGAGGCATGGGAGTGGGATTTGGCAGTGGTGGGGGCAGCAGCTCCAGTGTCAAATTTGTCTCCACCACCTCCTCCTCCCGGAAAAGCATCAAGAGCTAAGAGCCTCCTGCAGATCACTGCATCCCACGTGGAGCAACCTGGCCCATGGAGACTGTCTTGTCCAGGCAGTTGCCCAATCTAAGTTTTCTCTTTTTCTGGAGAATAGTCTAGATCAAGCCTATTGCAGAACCACAAGAGGGTATGATTCCAAATCTCTTGTCCCCCATTGTCACAATTCTATATTGTGCTTCAAATAAGACTTAGGTCCCTATAGCATGGTCTTTGATGATACAAGAATCTGAAGTTTTCCAGTATCTAAACCAACAAAATAGAATTCCCATCCCAATCCAAATTTTGTTCTGATTCTGACTACTTCCAGAGTGTGTTCAATAAAATGCTTTTATAATATAAGGCGTTGTGCAGAATTATTTTTTCCTGGTCTACAACCAGCCTAGAAATGTCGTGAAGGTTGGCCTATCCACATATGATTGGTTCTTTTGATGATTGATAGGGAGAATGAGATGATTTTGAAAGGACAGTTACCTTCATAGGTGGTTTAGAGAATCTAAGAGGCGTAAAAGGAGGTTAATAAGCGTCTATAGTGAAGAAGTCTTTTGGAGAATACTAATGGAAGTGTCCAATGCATTGCACTGTGGAGAGATTTTAGAGGCTCACCATTAAAGGTGGATCATTTGCAAGTAACAACATAAATGGGCTTAAGTAAACTTTGTAATTTAATATGCTGCCTTCAGAACATAGATAGACCTAAAAGACGTTGTGTCTATTCTAACATAATGAATGCTGAGAGGGTTACTAGCTGTTTTTTTTTTTTTTTTCCCAATTTAAGGGAAAAGGGAGCCATTTTTTTATCTTAATTTTACTTCTTTTGCTCTTTCCATTCTTTTGGTTCATTATACTTATTGTTCCTAATTTATATTCTTTCCTCATATGCAATTTGACTGAGTTTTTTCTTCCTCTTTTCCCTTCCCCCACTGGTTGACAACTGTCATTATGCTTCTCCTTGCTACAGGTGAGTCCTTCTCCATCTTTGTTATATTTAAAGCTGTATTTTCATTGAAAATTAAATCATGGCCAGTCTGGCCCCAACAAGGCATTTTATTAGCCCGATCTCCTTCACTTCTTTTTTGAAGGAAACTTCATTTTTGTACTCATTATTTCCTTGTCCCTTCAACATCTAGTTTTGTAGAAGTAGCCTATAACTCTGCATTTGAGATCATTAGTTTTTCCTCTTCAACTCTTTATCTTCTATTTCAAAAATTCTGCATTGACTCTTTGCATTTCCTTATTATGGTATCATCTCGTCTTTCATTTAGATCTTCTTTTTTTAAAAAAAGGGTTTTTTTTTGTTTGTTTTTTTTTTTTTTTTTTTTTTTTCCCAATGTCAGGAATAGAGTAGCCATTGTTTCATCAAATAATTCCAAAAATACTGAAGGGGTAGGACCTTGCACTAGCTGTGAGGCAAGGACATAGTCTCTTGTGAGCTCCTTTGTGAGTACTTTATGTCTTGAATGAAAGTGTCAAATCGATCTCTTCAGAGGAGGATTCATCGATATAAACCATATCTGCACTTCAAGAGGCAGTCATATACATTTAAGACTTTGCTTGCAAAAACTGTATGCAACAGCAAGGCAATTGAGGTACTCCATGAATATCTTTGGAGGTGAAGGCAAGCTATGACTTAGAGGTTGTAGGAATGGGTACTGAACAGAATATTATAGTTATGTAAATCTGTAAGAGGAAAATATCAGCTGCTGATTGGATAAATCAGTAATTTTAATAATATTTAATATGGAGCCTTAGTAGGTGTGACCATGATATTAAGGTAATAATCCATCAGGGGGCATCATTCATTCATTCATTTTTCCTTTTTTTTTTTTTTTTTTAGAGAGAGATATTTGCTATAGGGTACATGTGCTTGCTGGAGACACAGAAAGAGATAGAGAGACAGAAAGCAAGAAATCACCTCCTGGGGGATGGCCACACCAAAATCCCATCTTCTCCATTCTCCTCTTGGGATTTTGGGCATGCATGCACACGTGCCAGGCATGAGTTTTAAGCCTCCAGATCTGGGACTTAAACTGTGGTCGACTATGTGGGAATCCAGTTACATAACCATTACACCATCTGCTGGTCCCACCATTCATTCTTTCTAAATTTAGCCATACTGAGCTGTTGAATAGAGAAGCAGTGGTTGTAATAACACTTTTTCTAAACAGATCCTGAATAATGGGTCTCACTCTTGGAAGGCTCTGTGTTAGTTTACATTGTAGTGTGCAACTATTTTAACTGGAAGCAAAGGTCCATGGGTCCTATTTTGTAAGTCAACTTGTAAGTGCCAAGGACTTATTTTAATTTTAATTTATTACTCATTGAGTCAGACAGTATATGCCCACTGTGGGATATTTTAGGGGATGCTATGACCATATTTTAGGGAATCTAAGCAAGTCAGTGGTACTGATGATTAAAGTGAGGCACACCTGTTTTCTCTACTTTGGGTTCAAATTTCAGGGGCATCTTGTTTAAATTTAGTAGGATCCCCAGGTATAAGTGTAAGTCAAGCTCCAATATAAAGTAACATCATGAAGGTTTGTCATATGGTATGTATTTAACAGATGTGAAAGTAAAGTCAGAATCTTTGTTGTAGAGCAATGGTCCCCAACTTTCCCAGCACTGGAGATAGGCATTGTCAAAGACAATCCTTCCACAGACAGAGGCTGGAGGTTGGTCCTGATATGACCCAAGCACACCACATCCACAGTGCACCCTATTTCTATCACTACCACATTGTAATATACGATGAAACAATCACACAGAAATATGATCGTGCCCCCATAAGGCTCCATTATTGCCATTGATTTGATAGAGGCAGAACCCAGGCTACAATGCAAGAGATGGGGAGTGGCTGCAAACACAGATGAAGCCTCGCTTTCTCATCTGCCACCCACCTCTGCTGGGTGGCCAGGGAACTTGGTCCATGACTTGGCCCCAACAGGTCATAAACCAGCACCAGTCTGTGGCCTAAGAGTTAGGGATCCCTATTGTAGAAAGCCAGTGTACACCACTTTTTATATATTTTGATGTATAAATAATTTTAGTAAATTTTGGAATTTCTAAATGTATCAAATTATGGGTTTCTGTTTTTACATTTTCATTTCTTCTCTCTGTCTCCACATTTCCTTCTTTCTTCCTTTTCTTTGGAAAGTTTTCTCCCTTCTTTCTTTCTTCCCTTTCTTCTTAATTCTTTCTTTCTTATAGTTTCTGGATATGTATAGAGGAAAGGAATTCTCTCTAATCTGTTCATATTCATAAATGTCTTCCTCTAAGTAACCTAAAATGAGAATCATCAGGGTTAGACAGATGAGTAGATCAATTAACCCTTTGTTGTGCTATCTATGCCATTGATAGAGGATTTTGCTCCTGTTGTTTTTTTCTCTACAATACAGAGTACAGAATTTTTTGTCTTGGGAACCAACAGTTAGCGTAATGGCTATGTCGCTGGACTCCCACGTAGTCGACCGCGGTTCGCGTCCCGGACCCGGTGGCTTAAAACTCATGCTGGGTGCATGTGCGTGCGTGCCCAAGATCCTGAGAGGAGAATGGAGGAGAAGGGATTGCGGCATGGCCATCCCCATCTGGGGGGTGATTTCTCACATTCTTTCTCTATGTCTCTCTCTGTCTGTCTGGCGAGCGCATGTGCCCTGTAGCAAAAACCTCTCAAAAAAAAAAAAAAAGAATTTTTTATCTTTTTTGTTTTGTTTTGTTTTGTTTTGTGGCAGAGACACAAGCAGTAGCAGCAGTCAAGATCCTAGTAGGCCATCTGCTTTGGGGAGTGTCCCCTCAACACACCACATAGTAATTGCTCTTCCTCCACATAGGCAACTTCCCAATGGGACCACATATTGCACATGTTATCAATATTTCCCCTAAACACTCCACAGAATGAGAGCCAGCAACTGCTTGAGACACACAACCAATAGTCACAGGGCAATAGTAATTTCCCTGAGCTTAGCATCAGTCCTGCAAGAAATGCAATTCAGTATGAGATACTCATGTAAGTCTGGGCTGAGACGCATGACCCAGGGCCACTTTAAGGAGGACTTCAATCCCATACTCTTGTCTCTAAATGTCAAATATTGAAACTTCTGGTTTCAGTCAGCTAAATTAAAGATGGAGGCTCAGTATAACTCAGCAAAACAACACAGCTTAAAGTTAGAAGTTAACAACACAGCTCCAAAAGCCCACTAACCAGCCCAGAGCAATCCCTACTCACAAGCAGACAACAGAGCCAGATTGCAAACCAAAGCAAGAAAAATAAAGACTGTGGTGGTTGTGGTCATCCTCTGGACATCTTGCTTACAGTGTCAATTGTGGTAACCATCATACTTAGACAAGATGAACTTCCACTAAAAATTTGGTTCAGCTATTGAGACTGATGACACCCCTTCCCCCAACAAACACCTTCCACAAGAAGGTAAGAATATATATATATATTACTCAAATATTAAACCTGCCTGAGGAGAACAGGGCAGGCTTCCCAAGTTGGTTGGACAAGGGAAGGGAATGGCATTAGTTTTTACTTATGGTGGTTATGGGTAGGACTGGGATGGCTTATGTGGGTACAAGTGAAGGTGTCATTTTTTTTTAATGGTAGCTATTTATGGGGCCTACATATGGTTTGAAGTTCTCACTAGTGCCAAAGGAAGGGGCACTTGTGTTTTCATATCCATTTTCCCAGATATGAGCAGAAGAGGAAGAGGGAGGCATGGACATTATAAGTTGTCAGCAGTCAAATATCATTATACTAAGGATGGTTTAACATTTAAAAAAATCAGGGCTGGCTCCATGGCCTGGTAGTTGAAGGAAGCTAGATTCCACATGGCCAATCACATAGTTGGAATCCCAGACTCAGTGATTTGAAAACATGTTGGGTGTATGTGTGTGGGTGTGTGCCCCAAATCCTGGCAGAATGGAAAAATGGAGGAGAGTGTGGTGTAGCCATGCCCTATGGAGAGGTATTTTTTTCTATGCCTCTTTATCTCTCTTAGCAAGCATACATGCCCTCGGGGGGTGAAGGGGGAGTGATCAATTATATACTATAAAAGAATAATTGACCAAATAAAGAGAGAAATCAAATGATCACACACATACACGTGCAGACGACAAAGGTTATAGTTAATAATGAATAATTGAAACTTTTCTATTGGAATCAGGAGGGAGATAAAGATAACCATGATCACCACAATAATTCAACATTATACTAGAGATTATAGCTAGTATAGTAAGGTAAACAAAGAAGTAAACATCTTAGAAAGAAAATAGACAAGTTTCAGGTACTCACATGTGGCATTATTTGTATGTAGAAAATGAAAAGAATTTACAAAGTATTTGAATTAATAAGCGATTTATCAAGGTCATCAGAAAATCAATACATAAAAATCAGTTGTATGACTATATACTCTCAAGCAACAATTAGAAAATGAAATTTAAAAGACAGTATTTCTAGTAGCATTTAAAATTTCTAATACAAAAATATGCAAGGTTTATACACAGCAAACTATAAACTCTTATTGAAAATATTAAAGAAGACCTAATGTTGTAGAGTTCCACCGAGTGAACAACCACCAAAGCCAGATTATGTTTAAAGGGATTCTTTATTAGATAGCCAGCGACTACAGCCTGAGGCTCGGGGGCTGAGGCCCCGACCGAAGTTTGAGTAGTCTTTTCATAGGGGGTCAGTTACCAGGGTTTTCTATGCAAGCAGTTACAGAAGCTGAGTCAAGCAAGTTAATTATTTTTTAGGGGAGTGGGATTTTCATGCAAGCAATTACATTGCTAGACAAAAGGGTTTCGGGCTAGTTAGCAAAGACAGTAACAGGTACAGGATGGCGTCCTGGATGCGGTTTTCTGTACGGCTAACATAAGCTATTTTCTCATGGGAGGAGCAAGCAGGTTTATAGAAGCAGACAGCCATGTAAGGGTAAGGGAACAAAATGAATGAACAGTTGTTCATGTGTAAGATCTAATATGTGGCCTTCCACACTAGGAAGTAGTGGTATATACCATCTTTATTGATTTTTTTAATTTTTTGTATTACTTGATTTTATTTCATACTAGGTACTGGGCACAGAGCAATCCTCCTTAATAAAGTTGACAGATTTGCTCAGAACATTTTTAATAAAGCACATTAAAAAAAGTATTCATCTTACAAATTGTTCTGCACTCCAAATACACAAGAGCTTGGAAAACAACGTTTAGAAAATAAAAGCCAATGTGAAAAGACAGATTAAAACAACTAGAACAGTACAGGTTTTATATGGCTTGGATGTTACAGTTTTCTTACTGCATCATCAATGTCAGAAATCTGTTCCTTCAGCTAGTTCCATTACTCCGGATTTAAAGAAATACCTTTTCTTCCTGGTTTCATTTCACCTTCTGGATCCATCCAACATTCCCTAATATCAATGAGAACTTTCCCTTTAAAATCCCGGATGCTGACATAGCTCATTTTCCCAATTTCTTTTTTCTTTTTTTTTTTTTTGGAGAGATTTTCACTGTAGGGCATGTGCGCTCGCCAGACAGACAGACAGAGACATAGAGACAGAAAGCGAGAAATCACCCCCCGGGGGGATGGTCACGCCACAATCCCTTCTCCTCCATTCTCCTCTCGGGATCTTGGGCACGCACGCACACGCGCCCGGCGTGAGTTTTAAGCCACCGGGTCCGGGACACGAACCGCAGTCGACTACATGGGAGTCCAGCGACATAGCCATTATGCTAACTGCTGGTTCCCCCCAGTTTGAAACATGCTATCATCTCTGCTGCTGCTGCTCTGTTTGGAAGAGGACAGAGCTCTCGAAGTTTCACCAGCTTTTTACTTCTTCACAGGTTTTTCTGGAGCAACTTGCTTTTTCCTCTTCAACTTCTTGTCAGAATCACTGCCAGAAGAGCTTGATGAAACAATATGAGCACTTCTGAATTGTGTGCATAGATAGTTATAAAAACTTAATACCGTAAACATGGAAGTTTCTCCCAATTGAACCATGAATTCAGTATAAATTTAATCAAGTTTTACAGGTGTTTTGTGGGCAATAATAAATCTACTCTAAAATCAGTATGAAAATATTATGGTTTGAATGTGTCCCATCCAAAATTCAGGTGTTGCCAATATGATAATATTAAGAGGTGAAGCCTTTAAGAAGTGATTAGGCCATGAGGGCTTCTCCCTCAAGGATGGGATGTAGGCCCTTATAAAAGAGGCTTCTCTGAGCCTTTAATTAGTTCACTCTTTGCCCTCTTCTCTATATGAGAATTCATTATTTTTCTCCTCTGGAAGATTCAATCCTCACCAGACAACTAAACCTGCCAGTGCTTTGATCTTACCTATAGATAAGAATATCTAAATAGCCAGATTCTATTGGGTTGTTGGAAAAGTCATGACGTATTTTTTCTGTTTTTCTATGCAGAAGTGCAACATGACTTTTCCAACAACCTAGCAGAATAAGCTTGTGTAAACATGACCTAAAAAATAGGGAGTCTGTTTCTGTCTAAAAATCAAATGGCAACCCTGACATTGATACCTGAGTTGATTTGAACCAACTTTTAACATTTGTTTTTGCTTATCAAAACTTGCATAAAAATCTAAACTTAAATTATTTTTATTACCTTTTTGTTTGAGAGAGATTTTTATCAGAGAGATAGAAAGCGAGAAATCATTCCCCAGGGGGCATGGCCATGCCACAATCTCTTCTCCATTCTCCTCTCTTGATTTTAGGAACGCATCCACACATGTCCGACATGAGTTTAAGCCACATAGTCCACTACATGGGAGTCCAGTGATGAAACCATTATGCCATCTACTGGCTCTTATTTTTGTATCTTATCATGGAATGAGTACTCCTCCCAGGCAGACTCACCTCCATACAAATCCGTGTCACCTGTTGTTATGTGCTATTTTTCCATTTAGCAACAGCACTTCAAAATAAAGTCTCTAAACAAACTTGTTTTGAGGCTTTTTAATTTATTATCTTTTGATAGCTTTTTGATGGGTTGATTCATTGCTGGTGTGAATGCAATATAATACAACCTCTTTGGAAGAAAGATGGTAGTTTGTTACAAAACTAAACCTACTCTTATCATATAATCCAGCAATCATGCATCTTGGTATTTACCCAGTAAGTTAAAAATGTATGCCCACACATGAACCCAAACACAGATGTTTACATTAGCTTTATTCCTAATTGTCAAAGATGGAACTAACCAAGACATCTTTCAGCGAGTGAATGGATATAAACAAACTGTAGCACATCAAGACAAAGGAATACTATTCAGAACTAAAGAGAAATGAGCTATTAACCCATGAAAAGTCATGGAAGAAATCTAAGTTACAAGGTGAAAGAAGCCAATCTGAAAAAGCTACATACTGTATAATTCTGACTTTATGACATCCTGGAAAAGGCAAAATTATGAAGTAAAAAGATCAGTGGCTGCCAAGAGTTAGTAGAGAAGGACGAATAGGCAGAGCACAGAAATTGGAGGGCAGTGAAACTGTGCGACACTCTAATGGTGGATACTCATCAGTATACATTTTTCAAGACCCATAGAATAAACAAAATCAAGAATGAACCCTAATATAAGCTATGGGCTTGGAGTAATAGTGATGTGTCAATGTAGATTTATCGACTATAATAAACAATTCTGGAGGAGGATGTTTCTACTTGGGGAGGCTGTGCATGTGTGGGAGTAGGGGGTATGTGGGAACTCTACTTTCTGCCCAATTTTGCTAAGCCTAAAATCACTATTAAAATAGTCTGTTTTGGGACCAGCAGTTGGCGTAATGGCTATGTCACTAGACTCCCATGTAGTCGACCATGGTTCAAGTCCCAGACCGGGTGACTTAAACTCATGGCAGGCGTGTGTGCGTGCATGCCCAAGATCCTGAGAGGAGAATGGAGGAGAGGTGATTGAGGCGTGGCCATATCCTCTGGGGGGTGATTTAGGTGTGGCCATCCCCCCTGGGGGGGTGATTTCTCCCTTTCTATCTCTCTGTCTCTTTCTTTCTGGTGAGTGCACGCACTCTATAGCAAAAACCTCTAAAAAAAAAAAAAAGCTTTGGAGAGGTTGAAGTCTGAGCCACTTCAAGTAGATGTGTTCCACATCCACTTGGCTTGTGATATTCTGGAGGAGGGAGAGGAGGAGGGGGAGGATGAGAATGTGGGCACAGAGATGAAGATCCTGCATTGTCCCAGCATTTAGCATAATGGCTATGTCGCTGCACTCCCATATAGTCAACTGCAGTTTGAGTCCTGGACCCGGTGGCTTAAACTCACTCTGGGCACTTGTGCGTGTGTGCCCAAGATCCCGAGAGGAGAATGGAGGAGAAGGGATTGCGGTGTGGCCATACCCCCTGGGGGGTGATTTCTTGCTTTCTGTCTCTCTGTCTTTCTGGCAAGTGCATGCGCCCTATAGCGAAAACCTCTCCAAAAAAAATAAAAAGATCCTGCGTTGCCACTGTGGCCTGGTGTATAGCACGAGGGTCACAGACAGCTCAGGGTTGCTCTGTTGTTCAGAAGACATGTCCATCAGGTGCTGGGACCTGGGCAGCTGCACCAACAGTGTATTATACCAAGGGCATGCCTACCTGGTGTGGGACCTGGACATCGACCCCTGAAGCCTGTACTTTGCCAGCATTTCCTGCACCGCCAGGCTGTGATCATTTGATTGGACATACCCGTCGAGGATACATGCAGGCCCCCTGGCAGATGTGGACTGTGTCAAGTTCCACCCTAACACAAACTACTTAGCCCCTGGCTCAACTGTCAAGACTGTCTGGCTGTGGAGCGCCCAGCAGGGGAACTCAGTGAGGGTCTTTACTGGCCACTGTGGCCCTGAGCTTGCCCTTGCCTTTTCCCCCAACAGTATTTGGCATCGGCCAGTGAGTACAAGCGGTTGAATCTGTGGGACTTGGCCTCTGGGACGCTTTACAAAGAACTGGGAGGCTACACAGACAACATCACCAGCCTCACCTTCAGTCCGGACAAAGGCCTGATCACATTGGCCTCCATAGACACTCTGAGCGCGTCTGGAAAGTCAGGAACACTTACTGCAGCTGCACTTATATTAATGATTCTCTCCCCTGAAATGAAAGATTATGATAGAGAATAATTTGGAATGATAAGTCATAAAATAGAGTTAGAACAATGTTGAGCTTCTCAATGCCCATTTATCCAGAAGGGTAGCTTTCTGATGTCTCCTGCAACGATGCGCTCTCGCCTCCTGCACTGAGATCCCAGTTTAATGAACGCTTTGTGAAACAAATGCTAAGTACCTGTGCATGCATAACAAACTGTGCTACTAGGATAAAGCAAGTTCTAATTTGTTGAAAAAGATGAAATATTTCTGTCTTCTGAAAAGTATTTTGTTTTTCATTAAAATGTATTTAGTTTTAAAAAAGAGATAGAACTCTACTTTTAAAATCTGTTCATTTCCCTGTATGTAAATTAAAGTTTAATAAAAACCTTTTTAACAGTTTTTTAAAAAGAATATTTCACTATTTCAGTTTCTGTAGTGGAGATGAGAAAGAAGTGTATTAGGAATGGAGTTTAGATTAGCCAGTCAACAACTCCTGCCAGAAGGTCCAAACTTCCCTAGCCATGTTGTGTGTTTTGTGTCTATCCAGAAAAATCCAGGCTATCTCCCTCAGTGACTAAGGGAAGGGCAGAGGAAAAGGGGAAGGAAGTTATATTTATCAGATCATCTTTGAAGCTTCACTTCCATCATTAGTTCTACAGATTTGTGCCAGAGTATCAATGATCTGTCACTAATCCCAACCCTAGGCTTAAAATGAGATTATGAAGGATTAACAGATAGAAGTAGCCACTAAATGCCAAGAAATCTCTGAGGAGACAGTTAGAGGCTTGTTTTCTCTCTAGGGAATTAGTATGCTAAGAGTTAGATGATTTTGAGATGAATTTTGCTGCTTATGAATTACTCCAAATCATTCTAACTTTGGGGACTTACCCATTACATCATAATTAATCAAATACTTCCCATTTGCTGAAATAAAGAGTTTAACCAGAAAGCAGATATAGCAAAACCTCATTCCATAGGACTAGCCACATCACATCACTTACATTATATAAGCCAGGAACCTGTATATATCATTGAGGAATTCTCGGAAGTATTTTCCCTCCAACTACATCTTTTTTTTAAATAGTCACACAGTATAAAGAGGTGGGCCCTTCAGAAGTGAGGAAGTAGAAAACAAACTCAGCGTGGAGATGGGAAGAAGGGAGGTGGGGATCTGAAGAAGAAAAAACAAAACCAGTCCTTTGGTGACTCTTGGAGATATTTTATTGGCCCTTTTGGAGTTCTTCAACCACTGTTTTTATTGAGGTCCTCTGACACAGGACTGCAGAAGAATCTGAACCCTTGTCCACTCACCTGTGCCCTTTGGCCCTGCTCCTCCCTGGCATGCTGTAGCCAGTCCTACTGTTCAGCTCATCCCTTTCCCCCTTCACAACTTCTCTAGAGCACTTCTTTGTACCTCCAACATAGTTTCTTGCCTCATATATAAAATACATATTGGCCCTCCTCCTCCAACTAGTTCCCCTACATCAGTTAGGAAAATCAAGGTTGTCTCTTTCTTCCAAATATGGCTGTCTGTTCCTAGTCCAATTAAAAATGTACTTATCGATGACTTTATCATTCAAGTGCACCTACCCACCCAATATCAGTATGTACAGTGAGTCAAAGAGAATTGAACACTTAAGATGTAATACTCAGTAATTAAGTTTTATATAAACATATGCCAAGTCAATTTATAAGGGAAAAATAAGTTATTTCTGTAATTGTGCAAATACTCATATCAAGTGCCTCATGGCACAGGGCATGCAACAACAATCGTACCCTAATTCCTCCCAGTCTCTTGGTTACATACTACTGATTGAATCCCCAGCCATAATTCTTCTCTTCTTCCCCTCAAGTCTGTGAAAAGGAGGCTCTTGAATATCCCCACTGGGAAAAGTCACATGGTTAGACATCTGTAGGTGTGCAACCATAGTGCCAGAGGCAAGTCAAGTCAAGGCTTGGAGCCAAGCACTTTGTCAAGCACTATGGAAAATGTTCCTTTAGTGACCTCTGGTCTCCACAATCAACTCCCCTTCTATAGAAAATGGAGAAATTGTCAGAGACATCTGTCACCTGCTGAGATAGTTTTTCAGGGATCATGTCTGGATATACAATCCAGTCTCTGTGAAACACGAGTGGATTGGTTGTGCAAAATTTGAGAAATGTAAGAGAAGCTCTATAGTTCAGTGCATATTACATGTTCATAAACAGCTTAGTCATACAATTTTATTTTTTTAAAGAATTTTTATTTAATTTTATTTATTATTACTATTGTCTTTCTCTCTCTTTCTTTTTTTCTTTCTTTCTTTCTTATTCATACATTCAAATTCTATACATCATTTAGATTGTAAAGAGACTTTACCAAGCATGACGTACACCTCAGTCCAGCCCAGGTGAGAATACTATACACATCCTCGTCAACAGATAATAAACCATGTCTGTGTCCCGCAAGTGTCTTACCTCTCTTTTTTCCCCATATTTCCTTTCCTACACTCTTCCTCTCCCACACTCTCTTTCTCCTTTTTCTCTAGTGTCCATTACAAGTTTTAATGCTTTTATGTTCTTTAATCTTTCAGTCTCTATGATAGAGTGTGGAGAGTCATACAGTTTTAAAAACATCGATACTATCTGCAGCACGTTATCAGAGAAGGCTGCACTTTCCACTCCAGTGGTGGTGCTACTGTACAGTCTTTACAGGTGTGACTGCATCTGTGTCTCTTTCAGTGGCTGCTCCCTAGGGATGGGACTGGGTCTGAGGATTCTCTCCGAATAGCATCATCCTGCGTTGTGGTTTGTCGGATTAAGCACTTAGCCTTAAGCTTTTGACAATGTTGACAGGAGCCTATCCCTTATTCTCATCTGCAGGCTCCTCCCAGGGAATCAGAAGGACTAGGTAAACTCTCTTCAGGCAGACTTTCCATGGGTCCAGGCTTCAGGGCTCCTTTTGCCCTTCCTCCATGCTGGGAACAAGACAAGAAGTGCAGGTTAACCCCTGGACCTAGAACAAAGACATTCTGCATTCTGGGCAACCAGAGACAGCTCCACTGAAAGGAGCCTCTCCCAGCAGAGAGAAGAGGATTGTCTTTCTCTCTCTTTCTTTTTTTCTTTCTTTCTTTCTTATTCATACATTCAAATTCTATACATCATTTAGATTGTAAAGAGACTTTACCAAGCATGACGTACACCTCAGTCCAGCCCAGGTGAGAATACTATACACATCCTCGTCAACAGATAATAAACCATGTCTGTGTCCCGCAAGTGTCTTACCTCTCTTTTTTCCCCATATTTCCTTTCCTACACTCTTCCTCTCCCACACTCTCTTTCTCCTTTTTCTCTAGTGTCCATTACAAGTTTTAATGCTTTTATGTTCTTTAATCTTTCAGTCTCTATGATAGAGTGTGGAGAGTCATACAGTTTTAAAAACATCGATACTATCTGCAGCACGTTATCAGAGAAGGCTGCACTTTCCACTCCAGTGGTGGTGCTACTGTACAGTCTTTACAGGTGTGACTGCATCTGTGTCTCTTTCAGTGGCTGCTCCCTAGGGATGGGACTGGGTCTGAGGATTCTCTCCGAATAGCATCATCCTGCGTTGTGGTTTGTCGGATTAAGCACTTAGCCTTAAGCTTTTGACAATGTTGACAGGAGCCTATCCCTTATTCTCATCTGCAGGCTCCTCCCAGGGAATCAGAAGGACTAGGTAAACTCTCTTCAGGCAGACTTTCCATGGGTCCAGGCTTCAGGGCTCCTTTTGCCCTTCCTCCATGCTGGGAACAAGACAAGAAGTGCAGGTTAACCCCTGGACCTAGAACAAAGACATTCTGCATTCTGGGCAACCAGAGACAGCTCCACTGAAAGGAGCCTCTCCCAGCAGAGAGAAGAGGCTGGGGTCAGCAGCCCACTGGGGAGTAGTCAGCTGTCATCCAGGTTACTCATGCTGCTTGCTTCAGTTTCTCTCACATAGTTGCCTGATCTATCACCCTTTGTTCTAATCTTATTATGGCCTGCTCCTCTTCCTGGCTCCTCTGGGAAAACAGATCTCCCCTGGGCTCCACCACAGGCCATGAGCCAGGGCATCTGGGGATATTGCACCTGAGAAGAAAATTCTCTAATCATCTAGAGGGTCCCCAATGCCCACGAACACAACCCTCTCCTGGACACTGAAGCAAGTAGCAGAGGGTAACATGTTGAACACTAGAGTTGGAAAAGAATCTAGCTCAGCCCAGGGTAGCAGTCCGGACACGGGTTAGGGAATACTGGGAACCTCCCACAACCAGACAAAGAAGGACACAGAAAACCATGCCAGAGGGACCAAGTACAAACTTGACCCTTTACAGGTGGCATGGCTAAGAAGGAATGGAATCAGAAATGGATCTGCCGGGGCAGGGGAGTCACTCCCAACGTTTCCCTTCCATTGTCTTAAAAGCCTCTGTGGTCTCTCAAGAGCCCTCAGGCTGCCCTCATTCTCTATCAAGGTCACCACTGGAGTTCATTCCCAGAGCATTCCCCAACCGTTGGCAATGGGAATTTTTAAAAGGTTATATATATATTAGAGAATGTCGTAAACATCTACCAATAGGAAAAACACTTGCGTCAGAAAACTAACATGATATTTTACATTGGTGGAATTGTCTGGTACACATGTCAAGCCTAAGACTGGAGAAGTCACTGAAGCTAAACTCCCTCTGATGGGCTAAACAGTTGAATGTTGGGGCCCAGCTGCAATTAAATTCTATGCTTCATTCAGGAATGAATCCATTCCTCCCCTCAAAATAATATAAAATCAGTACTTCAAGGGGAAATGATGGGGTTACCTTGCTGGTTGATCACAGCTAGTCCCTGTGCAGACAGCCTGGAGGACAACTGAGAACCAACAGGGGATGGGGCAGAGGGTGAAGGGAGGGCTGACTCCGGAGGAAAGAAGACAGTCTGCTGCCACTCTCGCCCCTCAAGGACTCCAACAGGCCCTCTCTCTGACCACATTTCCTTCCAGTCACTTGGACAAAGTGCTGCATCCCTAAGGGCAGAGCTCTGGCTTGCCAATCATTGGTCTGATGCTAATGTTCTCCTGCCTCCTGTGGCTGTGCATGACTCCTAGGAGCAAGGGCAAACCTCTGTGTGCAGTTCCTAGGTCCTTCCTAACCTGGTATGGGCCTGCAATTGGGTGTCACTTCTCTTACCATCCTTACAGTTGCCCTGCTCACACATACATTCATGCTGCACCTGTGTCTCAGTTCTTGATGCTTCTTGTGGGCCCCTACACCACAACTTCATACGTCCTTGTGTTGATATTTGCTCATCTGCATTGAGAACACTGGGCTAAGATGTTAACATTATTTAATCATGTTTAATGCTATGAGATAGGTACTATTTTCACTCAATTTATTCCTAGCCACACCACCCATAAGTGGTCAAGTTCATATTTGGTTCATTTGCCTTGGTGTAAAAGTAAAGCACAGAAGAGTTAAGTAATGTGTGTAAGGACACAGGAGCCTGAGTGCTTTGATTCCAGAACTCAGGCTCTTGTCTATAACTTTTCCCCCATTTCTTTGCTATAGGGTGTGTGTACTTGCCAGAGAAACAGAGTAAGAAATCACCCCTTAGATTGGATAGTCATGCTCCAATTCCTTCTTCTCCATTCTCCTCCCAGGATTTGGGGCATGCATGCACACACATCCAGTGTGATTTTCAAGCTGCTGGATCTGGGACTTGAACAGCACGATCAGCCATGTGGGATCCAGCACCTTTACTTCCATACTACCTTCTGGCCCCTGAACCTATGCTTTTAACCAGGGACTGTTTTTTTTTTTTTTTTTTTTGGAGAGGTTTTCGCTATAGGGCGTGTGCACTCGCCAGACAGAGAGAGACATAGAGACAGAAAGCGAGAAATCACCCCCAGGGAGGATGGTCACGCCGCAATCCCTTCTCCTCCATTTTCCTCTTGGGATCTTGGTCACGCACACACATGCACCCGGCGTGTTTTAAGCCACCAGGTCTGGGACGCGAACCGTGGTCGACTACGTGGGAGTCCAGAGACATAGCCATTACGCTAACTGCTGGTTCCCTGGTTTAAATGAACAAAGGAATAGTTTAGGTTTTGCAAGTCATACCGTCTGTTGCAACTACTCACCTCTGCCATTTTGGTATAAAAGCAGCCATAGACATTGGCCATGGACATAGGTGTGGGACATCAGAGAAATGCATGCTGGTCCCACCTGATTTGCCAGTCTTCCCTACTCACTCTAGCATTGTCCATGCCAGGCTTCAAGCCTCTATCTCAAGAGAGCAGAGTAGATCAGAGTGCCCTGCCATGAGAAGGAATACTTCTTTCCCAGAACTGGGTGGAAGCACATTCTTGGTCAACTATTGTGCAACCAGGTGGAGGGAGGGGAGCTGCTTCCGTTGTCTTGAGAAGGCATCTCTTTCCTGCTAGACGCTGAGTTAGCATTTCACCTGGACAGGGCACACCCTGCCCTTCTGGATGCTGTGTGCCCCCCCCCCTCCAAATATTGAAGAAGGAACTGCTCTTAAAACAGTATCAAGACTTATCTCAATATGGGAGCTTGTCTTTCCTACCAGAGTGACCTTTAAGCACATGTTCTCACAGAATAGCATGCCTGGAATTGTTCTCAGTCTCCTCATACAAGCTACTTAACTCATGGACTGGTAAAAACAAACTTCATTTCTCACTAAGCCAAGCACTACTCTCATTTTACATCCTGCAAAACCTCTGAAAGATGTAAAGGGATTTGAGATTTTAAGCACTGAGATTAGAAATAAAAATTCAGAATTTACTTATGACATCATCACACTTGTAAGGACACATATTTATGATTCACTGTTTCTATATGACCCTCAACTTTCCACACACACCGCCATTAAACTTTCTGATTCTTCTTCTTCTTGTTTTTTTTTTAGTGTATTTATTTCTTCCGTGGGTGATCAAGAAAGACAGCACCCTCACCAGAATCCCACGCTGTGACCGCCCTCCACTCCCACAGCCCCAGCCAGCCCCAGAAGCCCCAGATCATGGGCATACACATGCCTGGCACCCTCAGGGGGATCTCTGGATACAAACCAGGAACCTCTCTATGTGGTCAAACACACAGAGCCTTGTACCATATCATTGCACCACTGTTCAACCCCTAAACTGTCTCATTCTAGACTCCTGAGATATGTCAGAATCTGTGGGAATAAAAATTCCGAGAATTCCTTGATGATTTTTGTCCTACACATTCTTTAAGTTTTAAATAAAGATTTCAAGCCTGCAGAGAGAAAGATATCTATGAATTTTGGCAAGAAAGACAGATTTAAATGAGAATCAGCCCAATGAGAAAGTAAATAAAAATGCAGGCATGTATAAAAAAATCCTTGTCAAAGTCAAAGTCTGGGCAGAGTGACCCAGTGCAGTCTGCTCCTCCCAAAAGTGTCAGGTGCGCAGCTCATCACACAGGACACAGAGCAAATGCTGCTCTTACAGTGTAAAATCTCAATCCCACTATCCCTCTAGCCTTACAAAGGAAGGGTTATATTCTGAATCTCCAAGCTAAGGCCACCAGGGAAGGACAGCTCTAGAAGGACTAGTTTAAAACTGGTGGAAAAAGCACGGCAGGCCACTTCTTGCTCTGCCCATTGGGCAAACGTGTCCAAGTCCTCAGAGAGAGTCCCACCCAGATGGGAAGGGTGGTACTGGAGGAGGGAAATCTGTGTGGGAAGGGGATACACAGGGAGTGACTGAATAAGCAGAAGGAAGGGACAATTACCACAGATCAGCTCCTTGTATCCTTTGTGTGAGAACATGACTAACTCATGACTTCAGTGACTTTACATTCAGCTTATTGTGCGTGATCAAGTCAAGGCTGGAAGGCAGAAGATTTCTCCATGACTAAAGGAAGCCAAAAATGCAATCTTCGTATTTAATGCCTTTCTAGAGGCTGGGGGTGAGCTCACTATTCGTAAAGCCCTGCCCTTCCCAATCTGCAAGCTCACCTCCCAGGACCAAGCCCAGCCCTTTTTTCCCATATATAAGCTGCACACTGCGAGGGAGCCCATCTCACACCTCTGCTCCTCTCGGTTCTGCCCTCCAGCCTCTCAGCTTCCTCCAGCCTGCTCATCTCAGCAAGCATGACTAGCCAA